GGACCAGGGGGTGCTCTGGCGTATACCTTCGATCGTGGATGCTGAGTTCGACTCTCTCCACGGCGACTTTACTGACCTCTTAGACGACATCGAGGACTCCGCGGGCCGCCAGCTCTGGGCCACCGCCTCGTTGCATGATGCTGGTGCTGACCTCCGCGACGGCGCCGATATGCACCGGGTCTGCCGCGAGATCCGCAGGCTGGAGCCCGACGGCGACCTCGACCACTGGGCCCTGCACGCCGAGGTAGTCGCCGGTGGGCAGTGGCCCCGTGAGCGCCAGCGCGCCGCGGGCTACGTTCTCTCACCCACGTGCCAGCGGCGTCTGAAGGAACCCGAGGAGCTTCTCCATCGGGCTCGGAGCTGCGAGACCAACAGAGGCCACACATATTTTCATGATAGCGTGCACCTCATCGAGCAAGCCCGTGTGAGCCAGCATCGCTGCCCCAGCTTTTGGTCGCGTGAAGTCCCAGGCCGAGCCGAAACGGTCCCTGGATTCGAGGACAAACCACTCACCCGCCTGTCCTTTGGATCCCTTGATGCCGTCCCCCGCGACGCCGAAGGTTACGTCACCTGGTTCGGGGATGGGTCGGGCGGGAGGTTCTCGGACGACCCTCGGCGTCGACGGGTTGGCACAAAGCTTGTTGGCTTGGCTCCCTCTGTCGATTTTTGGGAGCCCGTTTGGGGTCTTGGCTGTTCGATCGAGGGCCGATAGAGCGGAGATAGCGGCGCTCGCGGAGGCCTTGGAGGCCACGGTTGGGGGCCTCCGCTTTAATACTGATCGTCGTCCTCTTGCTGGAGTCCTGGGCCACAGGTCCCGGCTCGTGCGAGGCGCTTGATAGCAGCCGAAACTTCGACATTTGGGCCAGGATCCAGAAGGCGGTGGAGGGTCGAGGCTCAGGCGCCGTCGAGCTGATATGGTTCCCGTCTCACCAGGACAATATGACCTCTTCCCGCCAGGACATGCTTCATGCTTTCGGCAATGAGTGTGCGGATGCCCGGGCTGCTGATGCAGCCGGACGTGGCTGGACCGAATTCGCGATTGCCCCTCCCCCCCCTTCGCGGACCGACGGGACGCGGAGGCCGCCCTCGTGCGGATGAGGGCGCCTCGAGCCCTGGCGGCGAGCATCCAGGCTGATCCACGGACCGCCGAGCGTCCCGAGCGTGAGAGGGGGCCCTCCCCTCCCCAAGCTTGCGCAGGCTTTGCAATCGTCCGAGCATTGTTGGGGTCGCGCTGGTGCTGAATACTTCTGCCGTGGATGCAACCTGTTCTCGAATCAGGATTCGATTTCTCAGATGTGTGCTACGCGTTGTGTTTCTCAGAGCTCCTCTGAGTTTTCGGCGCTTCGGGGTCCCCAGGTCGTTGGGGGAAAGGAGCTCCATGGGTCTCACGCGCTGCAGCATTGGAGGAAACATGAGCTCAGATTCTGTACGGTCTGCGGCAAGAGTTGTACCACAGACCCCCGTCAATTAACAATGATGTGCGAGCCGTCCCCGAAGGGACGGCAACATCTTGCCAAAGTTCGAGCTGGCAAGTTCCCCCATCCGTCTGGACCTCCAAACGCAGCCCGTGAAGCTGAGTCTCAGGGGCTCGTGACTTCACCTCGTATGCAGAAGCCATAGTGCAGTTTCCGTTCGTACTGTCTGTTGCGAATTCGATCGGATTCGCCATCCCCCCGAATCCTAGACTTCTGCTGTTATTTTTATTCTGAAGCGTTCCTCTTCCTCCTCCTCCTCCTCCTCCTCCTCCTCCTCCTCCTCCTCCTCCTCCTCTCCTCCGCCTACCTATGGTAGTCGTGGTGGAACCTCGGCCCACCTTAAGCCCCCCGGACCACCTTCTGGGCCTGCCCGAGACGGGCGAACGGTAGCAGATCATGGGGGCCTGGTGTGCCCTCGCAGTTCCGTGATTGGCGTCGACCAGCGTCGATTCGCGTCTGCGGGTCGACGGGATAGCGCCGATTTGGCGACGGTGAGCGTCGATTAGCGTTTACTGAGCGTCGATTTAGCGTCGACCAGCGTCGATTCGCAAGAGCCGACAAGATGGTACGGGAGGCTCCCACGAGTTGCCACCGCAGTTGGGCCACTCCTGTGGGTCCATCCTGGGCTCGGTCTGGCAATCGCGCCCGGGTGATCGGGCCCTCCCGAGCCCCTTCCCGCCCTCCAGTGGACAACCTGACCTTGTCGGTTGCGCACGTCCGGGCGGGGTGCGCAGTATTGGTGCGCGCGGGCAGACGCGGGGTTGTCCACAGCAAAAAGGTCGGCTCATCGGCCAGCCCCCCCCACACGCACACACGCACACACGCACACACACACAAACGCACACACACACACACACACACACACACACACACGCGCGCACACACACAAACGCACACACACACAAACGCACACGCACACACGCACATACGCACACACAACACACACACACAACACAACACACACACACACACACGCACGCACCCACGCACACACACACACACACACATTCACACACATTCACACGCATACATACAACCACACACACACACATGCGCACGCACAGGCGCACGCACACGCACACGCAGACGTACAGGCGGCCCGGATTAGTAGGTCGACCCTGCCAGTTCAAGGGTACCTTCGTGTCCTGTGTCATGCGACCCATGCCTCCTGCATTTCTTTGGCAACGTGGCCCTCGGAAGGGTCTTGTGTCCTCTCGCGTGTCCTCCCCAATCAAGTCCGACTGTACACGCACATACAACCGCACGCACACGCTCACGCACACGCACACGCGCATGCGTACGCACGCACGCACGCACTCACGCTCGCACGCACACACAAGCACTTACACCGAATATCCTGGGCTACCCCCGAAACATAAAAAGGTCTTCCCGTTCGAGCTACACCGAGTCGTGGCGACGAGGGCCAGAGGAGGGCGAGTTGACACAGCGGCAGTCGGCCTTGTGGGGGTCCCCTCGTCGCCAAAGCTGAACGCAGCTCGGGCAGTTTTTGCGTTGGGACTCTGCGAGGGGTCTGTGGACCCATTTTGGGGAGCTGCCACTGTCTCGGCTCGCCCTGCGCCGAGGAGGAGGGGAGGGGGGAGGGGGGAAGGGGGCCGAAGGCCAGAGAACGGGGAGGAGCACGAGGAGGATCGAGGGGGACAACAGGGAGAACATAATTTATCCTGACCAGGAACCCAAGCATGTGCAGTTGTGAGTCACGCAGTTGTCGGGAATCGACCCCAGCGAACCTCTCTGGGGTCACGACGCGTGTGACGGGTGTGCCAAAATTGACACGGGTACGCCATACGGACGTTGCCACCGGAGCAGTCGGTGGGGCACCCTATGGAGCCGCAGAACGTGCGAGGGGTGCGCCGAAGTGGGAGGTGGAACTGCATGCTGATCCTGCCACTGGGGCCTTCGGCGGAGCACCCTGTAGTGCCACGAAACGGTTGAGGGGTGCACCGAAATGGGGGTGGAATTGCATGCGGACCTTGCCACGGGGGCCTTCAGTGAAGCACACGATGGAGCCACGAAACGTGCGAGGGGTGTGCCAAAATGGGGGTGGAACTGCATGCGGACCCTGCCACTGGGGCCTTCAGTGGAGCACCCGATGGGGCCACGAAACGTGCAAGGAGTGCGCCGAAACGGGAGAGGAACCGCATGCGGACCCTGCTACTGGGACCTTGGGTGGAGCACCCTATAGGGCCACGAAACGTGTGATGGGTGCGCCGACATGGGGGTGGAACTGCATGCGGACCCTGCCACTGGGGCCTTGGGTGGAGCATCCTACGGGGCCACGAAGTGTGTGAGTTGTGCGCCGAAATGGGGGTGGAACTGCATGCGGACCCTGCCGCTAGGGCCTTGGGTGGAGCATCCGATGCGGCCATGTAACGTGTGAGGGGTGCGCCGAAATGGAGGTGGAACTGCATGTGGACCCTGCCACTGGGGCCTTCGGCGAGCACCCTATGGGGCCGCGAAACATGTGAGGCGTGCGCCGAAATGGAGGTGGAATTGATGCGGACCCTGCCACGGGGGCCTTCAGCGGAGCACCCTATAGTGCCACGAAACGTCCGAGGGGTGCGCCGAAATGGGAGAGGAACCGCATGCGGACCCTGCTACTGGGGCCTTGGGTGGAGCACCCTATAGGGCCGCGAAACGTGTGAGGGGTGCGCCGACATGGGGGTGGAACTGCATGCGGACCCTGCCACTGGGGCCTTAGGCGGAGCACCCTATGGGGCCACGAAACGTGTGAGGGGTGCGCAGACATGGGGGTGGAGCTGCATGCAGACACTGCCACTAGGGCCTTGGGTGGAGCACCCTACGGGGCCACGAAACGTGTGAGGGTGCGCCGAAATGTGGGTGGAACTGCATGCGGACCCTGCCACTGGGGTCTTGGGCGGAGCACCCGATGGGGCCACGAAGCGTGCGAGGGGTGCGCCGAAGTGGGAGAGGAGCTGCATGCGGACCCTGCAACTGGGGCCTTCGGCGGAGCACCCTATGGAGCCACGAAACGTGTGAGGGGTGCGCCGACATGGGTGTGGAACTGCATGCGGACCCTGCCACGGGGGCCTTCAGTGGAACGCCCTATGGGGCCACGAAACGTGTGAGGGGTACGCCGAAATGGAGGTGGAACTGCATGCGGGCCCTGCCATTGGGGCCTTGGGTGGAGCTCCCTATGGGGCCACAACTCGCTGTACTGGGTGGGTGCAAAACGAGGACCCAACACCACAGGATGGCTGGGAGAAGCCCTTCCCCCCCAAAGGCACAGTGCAGACGTGGTCTCACTGCGGCCCCCGCCGCTGCACTCTTGGCCTTCCCAGCTCGGGTCCCCGCCCGAAGTGTCAGGGGGATGGAGCGTGTCTGGGGTGCGCCGAAATGGGGCGGGGGCGCGAAGAGGAGGAGGAGGAGGAGGAGGAGGAGGAGGAGGAGGAGGAGGAGGAGGAGGAGGAGGAGGAGGCGGCGGAGGAGGAGGAGGAGGCGCCCTCCGCCTCTGCAGCCTGCACGGGCCCGCGCATTCGACTTCAGATTCTGGAAGGCGCGGGAGTACCCCTGCGTCCTGGACAGCGCCAAGGTGGCCGAGCCCTCAGCGGCGCGAGGGGCCCCGGCGCGGTCCCTCGCGGAGGAGCGCCCGCGAAGCAGCCTCGGGGGGGTGGGCGGGCGGGTCGAAGCCGTGCGCTCAGGAGGAGGAGGAGGGAGGAGGAGGAGGAGGTGGAGGAAGGAGGAGGAGGAGGTGGAGGCAGGAGGAGGAAGGAGGTGGATGTGGTGGAGGAGGAGGAAGGAGGAGGAAGGAGGAGGAAGGAGGAGAGGGGGAGGAGGTGGAGGAAGGAGGAGAGGTGGTGTGGTGGAGGAGGAGGGGTGGAGGAGGAGGGAGGAGGGAGGAGAGGAGGAGGGGGGGGAGGAGGAGGAGGAGAGGAGGAGGAGGAGGAGGAGGAGGAGGAGGAGGAGGAGGAGGGGGTGGAGGAAGGAGGAGGGAGGAGGAGGAGGTGGAGGAGGAGGAGATGGTGGAGGAGGAGGAGGAGGAGGAGGTGGTGGAAGGAGGAGGAAGGAGCGGGAAGGGAAAGCACCTGCCCCGCCCGCTGGAGGCCCCCGAGACGGCGTCGCAGCCGTGCGCTTGCACGGCCCGCGGGCGAGACAATTTCAACCCAGGCCGTCGGTGCGCGACGACAACGTGGTGGACGCTGTCGTTTCTCATGGGCCAATTTTCGACCACCGCTACCATAGGTAGGACGGGGGAGAAGGGAGGACGGGGAGGTCCTCCTCCTTCTCATTCCTCGTTTCCTGCTCCTCCTTCTTCTCCTCTTCCCTGTCCTGCCTATGGTGGTGGTAATGGAAATCTGCCCATCAGTTTCTGGATGTTTTGAAGGCTTCCGGAGGCTCCAGTTGCCGCGCCTGGGCACAGGTTGATTTGATGGGCATGCTGGGCCGGAGATGAGCGGATTTGTTCGGTAGCAAACAAATCATTGGAGCCTGGTATGCCCTCTTAATCCGTCCGTCTTTAGCGTCGATTGGCGTCGATCAGCGTCCTGGAGCGGATGAGATAGCGCCGATTTAGCGTCGATCAGCGTCCATTTAGCGTCGATTAGCGTCGATTTAGCGTCGATCCACAAGAGCCGACAAGGTGGTTTGGGAAGCTCCGATGAGTTGTCGCCCCAGGCCGTCGGTGCGACGACGACGTGGTGGACGCCGTCGTTGTCGTTTTCGGGCCCAGGGTTTCCGAAATCGCCCATATGGAGAGAACGGCCTCCGACGACGACGACGAGGACGCCGACGACGACGGCGACGACGACGCCGCCGCCGGCGACGACTGCAGGCGGTGATAACGACAGGCGCTGCAGACGGCGGCGGCGGCGGGCGGCGGCGCGGAGGCGCGGAGGCGGAGGAGGACGGACACCCCGGCCGGCGGCGAAGCGCGGCGGCGGGCCGAGGCCGAGACGCAGGAGACGCTGGAGGAGGCTGCGGCGGCTCCTCCTCCTCCTCCTCCTCCCCCTCCTCCTCCTCCTCCTCCTCGTCCTCCTCCTCCTCCTCCTCCTCCTCCTCGTCCTCCTCCTCCTCCTCCTCCTCTCCTCCTCCTCCTCCTCCTCCTTCCTCCTTCTCCTTCTTCCTCCTCCTCCTCCTCCTCCTCCTCCTCCTCCTTCTCCTCCTCGTCCTCCTCCCCTGAAGCCGAAGTGAGGCAAAAACGCCCGGATGGGAAAAGTCGGATCCTCGGAGCTCTGGGGGTCTTGCTCGCCCTCTCAGCAGCGCCTCTCCCTGGGCCTCCGAGATGGGCCTCGCCGATGCATCGCCGATGAATTGGCGCTGCGGCGCGATCCTCCGCCCCCATCTACTCAGACACCCGACGTCGTGATTTTTTGAGCGTCGACCCCCGGAGGTCTGGACCCTTCCCCAGTCGGGAGCCTCGAGACGGGGGTCAATGCAAACGGGGGTCAGCCAGGGCGCCAGATCCTGCAGGATCCTGCGAAGACTCCCTCTGGCTGAGCCGGGTTAGGGAGCCGCTCGTGGCCGCGAGGCGGCCGCGCATACTGGCGGACCCGGGTCTGCGAAGACCTGTGCTGCAGTTTTTTGTTCCTGCATTGCACTTTTGGGTTTCCAGCTGACCCGTGTCTGGATTGACCCGGGTCCGAAGATCTCCTTCCCCAGGCGCTCCCGGGGCCCGGCAAAGGGCCCCCGGAGGCCGAAAGCAGCGATCCCCCCCCCCGTCGTGGCTTCTGCTGCGGCGTGGGGCGGTCTGCGGCACTCCGAATCCCACCTCCAGGAGGCCTCTGCTCCTGCTCCGGGAGGAACAAAAAAGCCCTCGGCTTTAAGTCGGGCCTGTCCCTTTATCCAATGGGGGGCCTTCAAAATTAGCAGAAAAATACTCGGGGGACTATTGTTCTAGCATTTTGTGTGACCATTTTGGAGCATGTTCTGCGTATTCTTTTTTGTTTCTCTTCTCGACAACCTCCCTGTAGGGGGACACGCCCGACTTGACCCCCGGCGCGGGTGCCGCCCCGAGTCCTGGGCCCGGGGGGAGGCCCCGCCGCGGGCCCCCGAGGCCGGCTCTCGCAGGCGGCGGCGCGGCGCGCGCGGCGGCGGCGGCCCGCGCGGTGGCGGCGGAGTCCCGGCCCGTACCATTGAGTCGGACGTGTCCCCCTACAGGGGGATTTTCGAAGAAAAATCAAATCTACCCCCCAAAATAGTCAAACGATGATCCAAAAGTAGTCTGGGGATTTGTTTGCTGTATCTTTTGACCTTTTGGGGGTCTTTTCGTGGTATGTTCCATTGTTCGTAGGCCCGACCGACATAACATTAAGTCGGGCGTGTCCCTCTGCAGGGGGACTTTCGACAAAAAATAAAACGTACTCCAAAAATGCTCCGAAACGGTCAAAACATGCTCCAAAAATAGTCCCCAGACTATTTTTGGACTACTTTCGAATCTTCCTCCTGTGGAGGGACAAGCCCGACTTAACTGTACCAGCGTCCGCTCCAACACTGGGCCCATCTGGGTCCGATCGACTCGGTTCCGGCCGGGAATCGAGGAAGAAAGGACGCCATGAGCATAAACTGTTGGCGCTCCGCCCGGATTTCTTGGATCCGCGCTGGGCCCCCCGGCGGCGCCTCCGGCGCCGCCCCTGGCGCGCGCCAGGAAGGGGGGTCCAGCGCAGATCAAAGAAATCCGCGCGGAGCGCCACAAGTTTATGGTTATGGCGTTTTGTATTCCTTCTAAAGAAGAGTAGGGATCCTAACCTTCATAAAACGACGAGGGCGTATCCTATATATATAGGGGTAAAGAACATGGAAGGATTTGTGGCAGCATTTGCAAAGTAACATGTCCCTGATGTGTTTTGGACCTAAGTGAGGCCCCTTTCGAACGGTTAGGGGTCCCCTCATTGTGAGACTCACAATGAGATTCGATACCGGGTTCGGCATCTCGATCCGATTTGATTCCGATGTTCAGAGGATCCCGCGCGGCCCGATGGTTGCATGGCGTTGTTGGGAGGAGAAGGAGGAGGAGGAGGAGGAGGAGGAGGAGGAGGAGGAGGAGGAGGAGGAGTGAGGAGTGGAGGAGAGGAGGAGAGGAGGAGGAGGAGGAAGAGGAGGAGGAGGCGGAGGAGGAGGAGCAGGATAACGGACGGAAGGGGAGAAGGGGGGAGGAGGACACGGAGGAGGGATGATGTTGGTTGTAATGGAAGGCGGAGGGGGGAGGAGGAGGATAATGAACGATAAGAAGAAGAGGAAGAGGAAGAGGAAGAGAAAGAGGAGGAGGAGGAGGAGGAGGAGGAGGAGGAGGAGGAGGGAGCAGGGAGTCATGAGGGAGGAAGGGGGGAGGAGGAAGGGACGAGAGAAGGATGATGATGAGTATAAGTAGGAGGAGAAGCGGGCAGGGAGTGTGTAGGCGGAGGAGGACGAGGAGGAGGAGGAGCAGCAGCAGCAGCCGCAGTCGGAGCAGGGGGGAGGCATGTGGGACGAGGGTGGGAGCTCAGCCCAGCAGGCGCACCCCTGCGGTGGTCCGCACCGCAGGTAGTGCGCCTGCGCGGGCTTGGTCGCACACCCTGGCAGTCCATCAAGACGTTGAAAGTACAGTGGGCCCATGCCAAGAAACACACCTGCTCCCCGCCAGGGTGCCCCGGGTTTCCTGGGTTTCGATGGTTTGGCTGCGGGAAGCGTGACGTCACCGCACCAAGAGTCAGTGGACGTCCTGGGGTCTCAGGGCTGGGATTGTTGTGTACTTCATTAGTGAATTTAATTGGTTTTTGGGTTTTAACAAATGGTCGCAGCCACGCAGAGGGCGTGCGTAGCGACGCCCCAAATGCTCGGTCTCCAGTACTTCTGCGTGGCGGCGCCCCCGCAGGCACGCAGAGGGCACGCGTGGCGACGGGGGCGTCGCCACGCAGAGCTTCTAAAGACCAAATATTATATAAAAAAAACAAATTGTTTCCACTACCAAAGTAAGGTTTCTCGTGGACTGGCCTCCGCCCCGGGTCGCATGCCCTCGCAGTCCACCACAGCGCTGAAAAAGCAGGACCGACGGGGCTCTGGTCTTCGGGCCGCCCCTTTTGGACCTGGGTCGGGGAACGTTCCGGAGGGAACGAAGCACACAGACACAGTGAATCGTCGATCCCCGAGAAAAAATTGGGGAAATATGGGAGGTGGGGGGGGGGACCAAAACCCAGAACACATGGGGAAGTATGGGGAACATGGTTATTTGTGTCTGTTTATGTGTGTGTGTGTGTGTGTCTATTTGTGTGTGTGTGTGTCTATTTGTGTGTGTGTGTGTGTGTGTGCGTGCGTGTGTGTGTGCGTGTGTGTGTGTGTGTGTGTGTGTGTGTGTGTGTGTGTGTGTGTGTGTGTGTGTGTGTGTGTGTGTGTGTGTGTGTGTGTGTGTGTGTGTGTGTGTGTCAGTTCTCCTTCCAAGGTGTTGATGCGTGGCCTGGGCTCGCCGTGGCCAGGAGGGCCCCCCCCCGGGTTCCTGGCGCAGCGCTCCCTCCGTGGTAGCACCAGGACTGCAGCCCCCCTCGTGTGAGATGCCCTCCTCCTCCTCCTCCTCCTCCTCCTCCTCCTCCTTTTCCTTTTTCTCCTCCTCCTCCTCCTCCTCCTCATCCTCCTCGTCGTTCATGTCGTTTGCCATCATCCGCGGCGCGGTGGTTCCCCAAGCTCTCCGAGCCCTGGCGCGCGTGGTAAAACATATTTCGCGTGCCCTCTTCCCCAGCTCCCCAGCGTCTTGAGCATGTCCTTCCCAGCACTGACTGAGCATGAAATTTGGATGCGGAGTCGAGCAGCTCTCCAGCTCCCCCTCTTATGAGCACCCGAAGATCCCCGAGCTCTCCAACGTCTTGAGCTCGTCTTCCCCAGGCCCCGCGTCGCACAGCGACAGGCAGCTGTCTCTCGTCGAGCTCTTATGAGGCCCCAGGGCCATCAAAAAGAACAGGGACGAGGAGGACGACGAGGAGGGGGAGGACGATGAGTAGGAGGAGGAGAAGGACGAGGAGGAGGAAGAGGAGGGAACCGGCGACGTGAACCGCGCTCGCTTGCTTTGCCGATCGGCGCGGGCCCTCGCACCCTCGTCCCCACGCCTCCATGGAGTAGGTCTTGGCCTTTTTGCGCGCCTGTCTCGAGCAGGTGGGGTCTCCCCCACAGGACGCACTGCTACAAACGGTCGCACGAAGCAGAGGTCCGGAGCCAGACCCCCCCCCCTCAGGCCCCCAGAGACCAGGACAGATAATCAGGACACGGAAAACCACGGAAACGATTTTTTCTCTGCAAAGTCACATTTTTCAGCACCCGTGTATTTTTTGTTTGCTGCACTGCAGGATTCGGGTTTTGTGTCCGGGGTTAGGGGGTTTTGCAGGCTTTCAGGGCTTGTGTCCGGGTTCAGTCTTGACGTGATGCGGTGCAGCATTTTGTTCGTGCCGCCGTCTGGAAAAATTGGTTTCGAGGGATGTTGGGTGTCCAGGTCTAGCGTGTCTGGGTTTACGGGGCCCTGATGCCCCCCCGAGCATTTTCTTTGGGTGGAGGGCAAAGGGTGAAGTCTGAAATGCCGCTCCGATCCGCAAAAGGTGAATCACCAGACGAATTCAGTTTCAAGGTGCAGAAGCCCACATGGATTTCACCCTGAGCCCTCCACCCTAAGACAATGCTCAGTTTACGGGGCCCTGATCCCCCCCGCCCTTAGTGGGCCCTGGAAACGACAGGGCCGTTTTTTTACCGGTTCCGTTTTGCCATTGTTTTGCCGGTTCTGACGCCGTTATTTTACCAGTTCCGTCGCCGTTGTTTGACCGGTTCCGGCTCCAGTTCCAATCCTGGAGCCGTTTTTTCCCCACATCCTGAGTGGGGTTTTAGTTTTCCCAGAACATCTTCTCCTCCTCCTCCTCCTCCTCCTCCTCCTCCTCCTCCTCCTCCTCCTCCTCCCGCTTCCTCCACCATCCCATACTGTATCATACCATACCAATACCATGCCACTCCATACCATACCTTACCATACCATACCATGCATCCACCATCCCATACCATACCATGCCTTTCCTCACACCATGTTATTTATCAGGTTTCGTGCCCCTCCCACCCCTCCAGGGAGGCCCCGCCTGAGCGAGCAGGGTATTCGCACACCATGTTATTTATCAGGTTTCGTGCCCCTCCCACCCCTCCAGGGAGGCCCCGCCTGAGCGAGCAGGGTATTCGCACACCATATTATTTATCAGGTTTCGTGCCCCTCCCACCCCTCCAGGGAGGCCCCGCCTGAGCGAGCAGGGTATTCGCACCTATATTTTTTATCAGGTTTCGTGCCCCTCCCACCCCTCCAGGGAGGCCCCGCCTGAGCGAGCAGGGTATTCGCACACCATGTTATTTATCAGGTTTCGTGCCCCTCCCACCCCTCCAGGGAGGCCCCGCCTGAGCGGGCAGGGTATTCGCACACCATGTTATTTATCAGGTTTCGTGCCCCTCCCACCCCTCCAGGGGGCCCCGCCTGAGCGAGCAGGGTATTCGCACACCATGTTATTTATCAGGTTTCGTGCCCCTCCCACCCCTCCAGGGGGGCCCCGCCTGAGCGAGCAGGGTATTCGCACACCATATTATTTATCAGGTTTCGTGCCCCTCCCACCTCTCCAGGGAGGCCCCGCCTGAGCGAGCAGGGTATTCGCACACCATGTTATTTATCAGGTGTCGTGCCCCTCCCACCCCTCCAGGGAGGCCCCGCCTGAGCGAGCAGGGTATTCGCACACTATGATATTTATCTGGTTTCCTGCCCCACCCATCCGTCCAGGGAGGCCCCGCCTGAGCGAGCAGGGTATTCGCACACCATGCTATTTATCAGGTTTCGTGCCCCTCCCACCCCTCCAGGGAGGCCCCACCAGAGCGGGAAGGGTGTTCGCACACCATGTTATTTATCAGGTTTCCTGCCCATCCCACCCCTCCAGGGAGGCCCCGCCTGAGCGAGCAGGGTATTCGCACACCATGTTATTTATATGTTTTCGTGGCTCTCCCACCCCTCCAGGGAGGCCCAGCCTGAGCAAGCAAGGTATTCGCACACCATATTATTTATCAGGTTTCGTGCCCCTCCCACCCCTCCAGGGAGGCTCCGCCTGAGCGAGCAGGGTATTCGCACACCATGTTATTTATCTGGCTTCGTGCCCCTCCCACCCCTCCAGGGAGGCCCCGCCTGAGCGAGCAGGGTATTCGCACACCATGTTGTTTATCTGGTTTCGTGCCCCTCCACCCCTCCAGGGAGGCCCCACCAGAGCGGGCAGGGCATTCGCACACCATGTTATTTATCAGGTTTCGCGTCCCTCCCAACATTCCAGGGAGGCCCCGCCAGAGCGGGCAGGGTATTCGCACACCATATGATTTATCAGGTTTCATGCCCCTCCCACCCCTCCAGGGAGGCCCCACCAGAGCGGGCAGGGCATTCGCACACCATGTTATTTATCAGGTTTCGTGCCCCTCCCGCCACTCCAGGGAGGCCCCGCCAGAGCGGGCAGGGTATTCGCACGCCATATCTTATTATTAGGTTTCGTGCCGTTCCCCGCCCCTCCAGGGAGGCCCCACCAGAGCGGGCAGGGTATTCGCACACCATGTTATTTATCAGGTGTCGTGCCCCACCCATCCGTCCAGGGAGGCCCCACCAGAGCGGGCAGGGTATTCGCACACCATGTTATTTATCAGGTGTCGTGCCCCTCCCACCCCTCCAGGGAGGCCCCACCAGAGCGGGCAGGGTATTCGCACACCATATTATTCATCAGGTTTCGTGCCCCTCCCACCCCTCCAGGGAGGCCCCACCAGAGCGCAGACAAGAAGCAAGGGAACCCCGTAACATCTTTATGTGGGAAACTCCGTTCGCATAATTTACAGTTTCTGGTCGCCGCTTTTTTTGCCGTTTCCATTTTCAAGGGACACGTTTTCGGAAACGGTGAAACAGTGGCCCTGCCGCTTCCGGGGCCCACAAAGCCCCCGCCCCGATGCCGAAACGCCGTTTCCGACGGTCCCTGATCCCCCCCGCCCTTAGTGGGCCCTGGAAACGACAGGGCCGTTTTTGTTACCGGTTCCGTTTTGCCATTGTTTTGCCGGTTCTGACGCCGTTATTTTACCAGTTCCGTCGCCGCCCCTTCCGCCCCGATGCCGAAACGCCGTTTCCGACGGTTCCCGCGCGGGCTCCTCCGAGGCCCTCTCGGGCCGCCGTGGGGCCCTCTCGGGCCGCCGTGGGGCCCTCTTGGGGCCGTCCTGGGGGCCTTCTTGGGGGCCTCGTGGGCCGTCTTGGGGGCCTTCTTCGGGGCCGTCTTGGGGGCCTCTTGGGGCCGTCTTGGGGGCCTTCTTGGGGGCCTCTCGGGCCGTCTTCGAGCGTCGGAGGCCCGAAGAGGCGAGAAAGCACAGCAAATTCGGAAGCCCCGATGGAAGTCAACGATTGTGGGTCGCCGAGGACACCGCCGCCGATGCCGCGGCATGCCTGTCGCCCGCTCCCTGGCTCAAGCCGTCGTTCTAGGCTCAGCAAGAGTTGGCTTTTTTGTTCCCCCGTCGGGCTTTGACTACCATCCTTTCGGGCACACGCGCCTTCGCCACAGCTACCCAAAGATGCTCTGCACTCACATCCTCCTCCTGATTGCCGCCAGCCAAGCTGCGCCCGCAACTGCGACGGACTTCGAGCTCGTCGTCTGCGACAAGGAGTGCCGCAGCGCCTGCTGCAAGAACGGGGGCGGGGACGCCTGCGTCACGGCTTGCGGCTGCCCTTCGGGCTCCTGCCCGCCCGTGGAGCCCCTCTTCGCGGTGGCTGTCTGCGACAAGGAGTGCCGCAGCACCTGCTGCAAGAACGGGGGCGGGGACGCCTGCGTCACGGCTTGCGGCTGCCCTTCGGGCTCCTGCCCGCCCGTGGAGCCCCTCTTCGTGCCGGCCGTCTGCGACAAGGAGTGCCGCAGCACTTGCTGCAAGAACGGGGGCGGGGACGCCTGCGTCACGGCTTGCGGCTGCCCTTCGGGCTCCTGCCCGCCCGTGGAGCCCCTCTTCGCGGTGGCTGTCTGCGACAAGGAGTGCCGCAGCACCTGCTGCAAGAACGGGGGCGGGACGACCTGCGTCACGGCTTGCGGCTCCCTTCGGGCGCCTGCCCGCCCGTGGACCCCTGTCCGCGGTGGATGTCCTGCGACAAGTGAGTGCCGCAGCACCTGCTGACAAGACGGGGGCGGGGACCCTTCGCACGGCTTGCGGCTGCCCTACGGTCTCCTGCCGCCCGTGGAGCCCCTCTTCGTGCCGGCCGTCTGCGACAAGGAGTGCCGCAGCACCTGCTGCAAGAACGGGGGCGGGGACGCCTGCGTCACGGCTTGCGGCTGCCCTCCGGGCTCCTGCCCGCCCGCTCCGGCCCGCCCGTGGAGCCCCTCTTCGTGCTGGCCTTCTGCGCAAGGAGTGCTGCAGTACCTGCTGCAAATAACGGGGGAGCTGATCCCGCGTCCACCGGCTATTGCGCTTGTGCCCTTCGGGCTCCCTGCCCGCCCGTGGAGCCCCTGAAGATCGCGGTGGCCTGTCTGCGCCCCAACAGGAGCACCACCTGCTGCAATCTCTTCGCGGGGGCTGTGGTCGACGCAGCCGCCTCACGGCTTTGCGGGCTGCCCTCGGCTCCCTGCCGCCCGTGGAGCCCCTCTTCGCGTGGCTGTCTGCGACAAGGAGTGCCGCAGCACCTGCTGCAGACTTACGGGGGCGGGGACGCCTAGTGCGTCACGGCTTGCGCTTGCCCTTTTTTTCCGTGGGCTTCCTGCCCGCACCGTGGATCCCCTCGTCGGGGGGGGGGCGGGGGGTGGACGTCGCCGACAAGGAGTGCCGCAGCACCTGCTGCAAGAACGGGGGCGGGGACGCCTGCGTCACGGCTTGCGGCTGCCCTTCGGGCCCCTGGCCCTGCGACCCGCAGCACCTGCTGCAAGAACGGGGGCGGGGACGCCTGCGTCACGGCTTGCGGCTGCCCTTCGGGCTCCTGCCCGCCCGTGGAGCCCCTCTTCGCGAGGCCGTCTGCGACAAGGAGTGCCGCAGCACCTGCTGCAAGAACGGGGGCGGGGACGCCTGCGTCACGGCTTGCGGCTGCCCTTCGGGCTCCTGCCCGCCCGTGGAGCCCCTCTTCGTGCCGGCCGTCTGCGACAAGGAGTGCCGCAGCACCTGCTGCAAGAACGGGGGCGGGGACGCCTGCGTCACGGCTTGCGGCTGCCCTTCGGGCTCCTGCCCGCCCGTGGAGCCCCTCTTCGTGCCGGCCGTCTGCGACAAGGAGTGCCGCAGCACTTGCTGCAAGAACGGGGGCGGGGACGCCTGCGTCACGGCTTGCGGCTGCCCTTCGGGCTCCTGCCCGCACGTGGAGCCCCTCTTCGCGCCAGCCGTCTGCGACAAGGAGTGCCGCAGCACCTGCTGCAAGAACGGGGGCGGGGACGCCTGCGTCACGGCTTGCGGCTGCCCTTCGCTCCTGCCCACTGCCGACGCCCGTGGAGCCCCTCTTCGGTGCCGGCCGGCTGGCACAAGGGTGGCCGCAACCTTGCTGCAAGAACGGGGGCGGGACGCCTGCGTCACGGCTTGGCGGCTGCCCTTCGGGGCTCCTGCCGCCGTGGAGCCCCTCTTCGTGCCGGCCGTCTGCGACAAGGAGTGCCGCAGCACCTGCTGCAAGAACGGGGGCGGGGACGCCTGCGTCACGGCTTGCGGCTGCCCTTCGGGCTCCTGCCCGCCCGTGGAGCCCCTCTTCGCGCTGGCCGTCTGCGACAAGGAGTGCCGCAGCACCTGCTGCAAGAACGGGGGCGGGGACGCCTGCGTCACGGCTTGCGGCTGCCCTTCGGGCTCCTGCTCCTGCCCGTGGAGCCCCTCTTCGCGCGTGGCTGTCTGCGACAAGGAGTGCCGCAGCACCTGCTGCAAGAACGGGGGCGGGGACGCCTGCGTCACAGCTTGCGGCTGCCCTTCGGGCTCCTGCCCGCCCGTGGAGCCCCTCTTCGCGGTGGCTGTCTGCGACAAGGAGTGCCGCAGCACCTGCTGCAAGAACGGGGGCGGGGACGCCTGCGTCACGGCTTGCGGCTGCCCTTCGGGCTCCTGCCAGCGCGTGGAGCCCCTCTTCGCGCCGGCCGTCTGCGACAAGGAGTGCCGCAGCACCTGCTGCAAGAACGGGGGCGGGGACGCCTGCGTCACGGCTTGCGGCTGCCCTTCGGGCTCCTGCCCGCCCGTGGAGCCCCTCTTCGTGCCGGCCGTCTGCGACAAGGAGTGCCGCAGCACTTGCTGCAAGAACGGGGGCGGGGACGCCTGCGTCAAGGCTTGCGGCTGCCCTTCGGGCTCCTGCCCGCCCGTGGAGCCCCTCTTCGTGCCGGCCGTCTGCGACAAGGAGTGCCGCAGCACCTGCTGCAAGAACGGGGGCGCGGACGCCTGCGTCACGGCTTGCGGCTGCCCTTCGGGCTCCTGCCAGCCCGTGGAGTTGTCGCTCACAGCCATTATAGTTTGACCGTGCTCTTATATTCGCTGTTCGATCTATAGTATTTTCGCCCATCTGCCGACTGGCTAATTGCTCCATTCAACGATGATCGTGCCAGCCCGTTTTTGAGTAATACTCGGCGTGTTTTTGGAACTCTCATGGCCAACACGGTTTGGTTTTTCCTGAGCGGTCTGCACGCCTGAGCAACGCGTTTGCGTAGGATGATTGATGCAGTCGAGCGTCTGATTCAGAAACCTCCTCCGGGAAAGCTGGACCAGCGTTTCTCCGCCAATTTGCAAGAAAGTTGGTCCAGTTTCTTGAGCACGTTCGCCACTCCAGCGTTAACAACAGAAATTGGCCCAGGCTTGTTTCAAAAAGCTTCTGGGAAGCTGGCCCAGATTTCTTAAATTCTAGTTGTCTTGTTTGTTTTTAGGTTGTCGTTGCGAAAGGCCTCGTCGTCGGAGGCTCAAACGAACGCGACAGCACCTGCAGGCCGGTTTTCTACACCCGTGCCGCGCTGGCTGGCCGAGGCGCCCGTCGTGCGCGAGAAAGGTTTGCCGCCGCCGAGCCGAGAAAGGCTGCAGAGACGACCTAGCGAAGGCTGGTCTCTCATGTGCCGTCGGGCAGCCATTATTTATCAAGCAGGCGGGTTCTCCCACTTGGTCCCTGCATAAAAAATGCTGTCGCCCGCTCCCGCTCCGTGTTGCCTCGTTCCCCTTGCTCTGGGCCGCCTAGACGGGGCCAGTATTACAGTCGGACCGAAGTATAAGATCGAGATCGGTTCGGGGAGGGTGCCCTAATGTTCTTCGTGTTTGTTGGATGTTCCTCCCCCTCCCCCCGCGCGGCCGCCCTCGTCATTTTCATCCCTTGCGCACGCTGGACACTTCGCCTTTCGCATGCCCCGAAAAGCCACACGCTTGAGCGGACTGCCTCTGCCTCGCCCCCGGCGGAAAAAAAATGCCGGATGTTCTTGAGCCTCCTGCGGGGGGCACCCTTGGATGTTCTGTGCGTTTTGGATGGCGGAGGGTTCTAGGTCTGATTGTAGATGGGATTGGAGGATCGCGCCGCGTCGCCGATGCATCGCCGATGTGGGTCAATGTGGAGCCCGATTTCGCTTCGCAGATGCACTGCCAACATCACCGAGCTCGTGCGACTCACCGACCCAATCTGCTCGGAACCCCTCTATTAAGCGACAAACATATCCGTATCCGCGGCCTCGCGGGCCAGGCCCCTGGGCCGCGACCCCGCTTTTTTTCGCGCATGCCCCGCGCGGAACGTAGCCGTGCGACCACGTATCCGCGAGATCGCGCCCTGGGATCCAGACCGCGAGGGCGCGGATTCGGATACGATCACCGCTTGTGAGTATCTCTCTTCTTCTAGGGAAACATGAAGTAACATAAACATGAAAACTCGGGGGTCCGCGAGGACTTTTCGGATCGGCGCTGGAGCCCCCTCCCTGACGCGCGAAGCGCACCAGAGGCGGCGCTGCAGGCGCCACCGGGGGGCCCCAGCGCCGATTCGAGGAATCCGCGCGGATCTCCAAGTTTTTAGGTCCCCTTTACTTCGTTCCTCCCTACCCCCCAACCGAGTACGGCGGCAAGGCGGCAGCTGCCTTTGGCTGCTGCCGCTGCCGCCGCTGCCGCCGTCGTCGCCTCCCTCTTTTTTCCTTGTGCTGGGTGCTCGGCGGTGGCTTAGGCGGTGTGGTCCCATTCAAACAGTTGCGAGGCGTCCTGGCTTGCCTAGAGGCCCACCAGAGAATGTTCTCAGAATTTTGCAGTCTGCACGAGATGTTCGTAGAACGTCTTCCGCTGAAGACGTTTTGTTTCAGGATGTCGGCTCCATGTTCTGAGAGCGTTGCTTTTGTTCTTGGAGTCGTTGTCTTGGCCTAAGAGAAGTTCGTGACAGGCCTACATGAATGCCGGGACGGTCGGGCCCTGCTCAAGGTCTGGTCCCTCCCTACCCCTATTCTTTCTGACCCCTCCCTCCGCCCACCCTGGTCCCACAGTCGGATTCGGTAGCAAATCATGGAAGCCTGGTGTACCCTCTTACTTTCGTCCTTCGCCTCGATTAGCGACGATTAGCGTCCTGGAGTGGATGAGTTAACGCCGATCTAGCGTCGGTTAGCGTCGATGTAGCGTCGATTAGCCTTGCTTCAGCGTCGACCAGCGTCGAGTCGCAAGAGCCGATCAGATGCATGGGAGGCTCCCACGAGCTGCCACCGAAGGGGCGCCGCGGGGGCGGCGCCAGACGATGATGAACCTGAACACCATGAACGCCCAGAGGCACTCGCAGCCCTTCAAGGACCGGGCGCGGCGCGCCGAGGAGGAGGAGGAGGAGGAGGAGGAGGAGGAGGAGGAGGAGGGGGAGGAGGAGGAGAGGAGGAGGAGGGAGGAGGAGGGGAGGGGGGAGGAGGAGGGAGGAGGAGGAGGAGGAGGAGGAGGAGGAGGAGGAGGAGGAGGAGGAGGAGGAGGAGGATCGGAGCGGCCCGCCCTGCCCGCAGCTGGAGAGGCGCCGCGGTGGCTGCGCGGACGCCTGCGTGCGCTGGGCCGCCGGCCGCCCGTGGTGGCAGCGATCAGCATTGTGCCTAGGGGGCCACATGTGAACCCTATACCCCTGGATTTCCGGCAGTGGCCGGTTGGGCCAGGCGCCAGAGGGTTACGACACAATGTGTGCAACTCCGGCCCGATACGTTTTGAGGGCAAGTCGTATCACTTGCAATATTGCTTCCTACTGGTCTCACTCGGGATTGAAACCCAGATTGCATCTCAGCCTCTAGATCTTCGCCAGCGCGTGGAGTCAAAACTGTGTACAGCTTTGCTTGCGCTGCGGGAAAAAAAAACATGTGAACCCTACCCCTACCCCCCACGATTTCTGAGGGGGAGGGTGGCATTCACTCCGCTCGGCAGCTCCCGAGCGAAGTGAACCCCACCCTCCCCCTCAGGAATCGTGGGGGGTATAGGGGTATATAGGGTTCACAATGTGGCCCCCTCGTGCCTCCGACCAGAGGCAGGTGCATAGTGCCAATATACCGCTATAGCCCTGCCTCGTCTTCGCCTCCTGGGGCCTCCCGGGAGGCCGGCCTTCGTCGCCGCGGCCGGAGATCCGCTCCCCAAAAATCAAGCTCCCGGTCAGCACGCACCCCGGGAGAGGTCCGGGGAGTGGCGGTATCGGTACCTCTTGGTGGCCCCAGTTTTGCCGCTCACCATCGCCAATTGGGCCATATCTCAGCCCCCTAGGTGGGAGCAGGCCCCGCGAAAGCCGCGGCTGGAGATTCGCCCCAAAATTAATCCCGGTCAGCACGCACCCCGGGAGAGGTCCGGGGAGCAGCGGTATCGGTACCTCTTGGTGGCCCCAGTTTTGCCGCTCACCATCCCCATTGGTCGGGGGCGTCAAAGAGGGGGGGTGATGACTAGGGGGGGGGGATATCATGGCGGGGGCCATGGTATTTTCTCCGGATTTCATGGCGCCTCTTCTTACTTCATTGCGTCCTTGGTCCCCCCGCTGGGCCGCGCACGTGCCGCCGGTCATGATTAGCCCCCCCCCCCTCTTGGACACCCCCCTCTTGGCCGCTCCCGAATTGGGCCATGGTATCTCGCCCCCGTCAGCCCAACCCCCAAGGCAGGAGCGGGCCCCGCGAAGGCCGAAGGGAGCAGCATGTATCCCCATCTGCGATCGACGGGATGAGATCGGTCGCTGGGGTCAATGAATGCCATGCCGGTGGGGATGGGGATAGGTTGAACCATGCTCAATCGAGCAGGGCGGAGTTTTTTCGAGCTTATCCGCAATTCAGTGTGCTCGACAGCCACAGCGGACTTGATGATCCACATGTTTGCGCCACATTTGCACCGCCGCCTCCGAACCCACCAAGCAGAGGACACTGTTGACGCTTTTCGTATCCCCTCGCCAGCCCGTTTAGAGACGAAGCCCAGGCGAGTTGCCTTCAACACGGTAGAGTGGGAGCACGCAGTGGAACAAGGAGGGAGGGGGGCAGATGTCTACTCGAAGCTCGGGATCAGCCGTCGCAGACCCAGGAATTAATCACAACGGCCTGCGTGGGTCTTTCGATTTGGGAGCCTCTCGATGATACCTTGGGCCATCATTACTCGGGTGTTGTCTGTGATGGTTGGGGTCCTTTGAGGATCCCTTCGGTCTCTCTTTCTCTCTCTCTCTCTCTCTCTCTCGTAAATCTTGAGGACCCTGGTGGGGCCGTCTTGGAGGACATCGATCACGAAAGGCGGCGGCATTTAGTAGCCTTGCCCCATCGGAGCCTGAAGCGTAAGTATGGTTGGCACCCTTGGGGCCGCAGTGGGGCCCTCTTGGGGCGCTTTTGGGGCCCTCTTGGGGCGCTCTTTGGTTTCTGTTTGGGCTCGCTTGGGCGATCTTGAAGCCATCTTGATGTCTCAGAAAGAACGAACAGGCAACTAAGCACCGCTCGTTGGAATACCTTAGAGGCCCACTGCCCGTGCAGACCGAAGCGGGCGCGCCCCCCCCTCGGCTGCAGCTGGCACGGCCCGCGCCAGCTCTGGCAGGCTGGCGGCGAGAGATCCCGCTGGCGGGGGCCCGTTCGCTCTGCCCGGTCTGCCCAGGAGCTCCGCCTGCCTCTCCTGTGCCTCCCCAGGTGGGGTCCGAGCAGACGGGGTCGAGGGATCGCTCTGCATCGGAGATGCATCGACCCGGCTTTCTCCATGCCGGTGGCGCCGGTAAATCGCCGATGCGCGCCGCCGATGCGCGTCACCGATGCATCGGCGATGCATTGGCGATGCGGAGCGATTCTCCGACCCCGATCTGCTCGGACCCCATCAGGGATGCCTCGACCTCTCTGCTCGCGTCGCGAAAACATCGCGACGGAAGGTTTTTTTGGATGCCTGCGGCCTCCAGGGGGGCCTCGCCCTGCCCCGGGCCCGCCAAAGAACGGCTCGGAATGAAGTACCTGCCCTGGGGCAAGGGTCGAGTCGACTACATGTGGGAGTGACCCTTCGCAGCAGTGACCCCTGGTGCAGGCCCCAGGCCCACTGGGGTCCCCCCGTTCGCCGAACCCGATGCGGCAGTAGCGCCCTGCACGCTTGTGCCTGGTCCCCGCGCTGCCCTTATCAAGCCGCGCACCGAAGGTCACTCTGATGCAGGGTCTCTCTTGCGCGTAGCCAATCGAGGGCTTCCAGTGACCCCATATTGAACATGTGAAGACGTCGCATGTGTGGGGCTTCGTTTGCAGAAGTTGATTGCAGTTGAGAGGGCCCAGCTCAACTTCTAGGGCCTTCTCCATGACAGCTGGTTCCCGATTCTCCGGCAGCGCCAAGGGGGTCACCACAAGGGCCTTCTTGGGGGCACCACCACCTCCTCAGGATCGAGGAGGAGAAGGGTGAGAAGACGTTTCTGAGCGTTCCGAGTTGTCCTGTGTGTGTTTGTGCGTGTGCGTGTGCGTGTGCGTGTGCGTGTGCGTGTGCGTGTGCGTGTGCGTGTGCGTGTGCGTGTGCGTGTGCGTGTGCGTGTGCGTGTGCGTGTGCGTGTGCGTGTGCGTGTGTGTGTGTGTGTGTGTGTGTGTGCGTGTGTGTGTGTGTGTGTGTGTGTGTGTGTGTGTGTGTGTGTGTGCGTGCGTGCGTGCGTGCGTGCGTGCGTGCGTGCGTGCGTGCGTGCGTGCGT